ATTTCAGAAAAACTGTCCCAAACCTAGAGACTTCTATGTGTACTGCTTCAACACACACATCACATACACACACATCTACCAACGCCCCCCCCACAGCACAAACACGTTATTATAATTTCAGTGAAATATCTGTGTAATACTGAAGACTAGCCTGACCTTACCCTAAGTAAATCAGTACAGTATTTCTTCAAGTAATTCTTAAGACTGCTTCCCACACATAGTGATTAAAGACTAGTAATGGAGACGGGCATCTTTCAGCAAATGTGAAGGATCTGGAGTCTGGAAAAACAAGACTGCCTGGAATCTCCTGCAGCTGCTCTATGTCCCCACTCAGGGCTTAAGCCCCTTTCTCTTCCAGAGAAGGCAACGGGAGCTGCTTCTTCTGTTCCTTGCTGTCACTTGGAAGAAATCTCTGGGAATGTGAATATATAATCACAGGGAATATAATGTCAGAGCTACCAGAGAGGAAAGTGCCTGTGACCTTCTTCCTATAGCTATCCAAGTCAGCTATGTCTCAGCCAGAGGATGGAATGACATTGCCTTGCCATACCACCTATCAGTTTTTATAGGATAAAATCAAATCTGGAGATCTGGAGTCCAAAGTGCCCCACCTCATTCTGTTCAGTGTAGTGTATATTAAGGTTCCTTAAATCTAGCAGTGGTGCTAGAATTGCTAGTGTAGTTAAGTCCGGCTCATTTTTTAAAAGTCAGAGCATTTACTCGTAAGATTAATCATTCCTTCTTTTCTGGTATAAGCAATTGTCAGGCAGCACGAGCATATTACAGAATCAACTGTAGCTCAGTGTTTTTGAAACTTGGCAACTTTAAGATGCGTGGCTGTGAAATTCTGGGAGCTGAAGTCCACACATCTTTAAGTTGCCAAGTTTGTTTTTTTTATAGTAATTTTATTAGAAATTACAATTACAATGATAAAAATACTAATACAAACTAAAAAAAGAAAAAGAAAAAATAGGCACAAAAGAAAAATAAAATAGAAAAGAAATAGAAAAGAAAGAAAAAAGAATATAGTAAAGAAAAAGAAAAGAAATATATAGAGAAATGACTTCCCCCTTCATCACAAGTATAAACAATTTTAGTAAGTTATCACCTTCTCTTACAATGCAACAAATGATCTATTCTTCCCACATCCCATCTCTTATCTATAAACAAATCTTTAAAAACCTCATCACTTCAGTCCTTTTCAGCAATAGTCCATTAAAGATTACCACATATATACAAAATATCTATTTTAACCTTGATCAAATAAACCAACTTTATATTCCTTCCTTTTACTTTTAACAATCTTGATCTTTAGTCCTTTCAAATAATGTCCTAAAACTTGATTTCTTTTAATTTTTTCTTTGTCCCTTCTCACAAAATTCCTCAAAGCTTTAACAAGCCTCTTTTGTAAATCCAATATAGGAAGATTATCCAGGTCACTCTTTTGGTTTGTTATTTC